TATATAGTACTGCACATTTGTAGCTTTGAGACAAAGAAATAGAATGATATGAAATACGAAACAGCCTATTTATAAACGCATGTCATCGTTATAAGTTTCCTACTATATTAAATTCATTAAAGGATACGAGAATCAAAACTACCTGCATAAGTACAACCATAATATACCAGTAGGTTTATCCAGAGAATAATATCAAAGAAATAGAATAGACATTTACAAACAATGAGTATACAATGATGAATAAAAATGATTTAGATAAATTTAATTGAACAAGCATTATACAGTAGTAATCTGATACAAATTATTTTTAATCGACATTGTGATTGTGTTTAGTGGTCACAATAAAATCCATATCCATGTTTTACCTACTAGGCTATATATCCAGACTAAAATGATACAGTTTAACGAATATGGACTAATTTTACTTTACTTCTGTAAGTTGTAATTAAGCTTAAATGCTGGAACATCAAAAATAATAGCCTCAGGGTGTACCTGATAGGTCACATGATTCTTATTATTTGTATTAATAATAATAATAGTAGGCCTAATAATCATGATAATACGCCTGTGTGGCTGCCACAGATAAGCCAGCTAAAAATGTTATTTATTATCATTCGTAAAAATAACATCTTAGCGTCTTGTTCATTTAGTTTCCATACACAGGGGCAAGTATGAACCCAGCGCGTTCCTTTGGTACGGCAGCACTACAAGGCAACTTCACTGATCACTGGGTGAGTTTGAAAGATGACATCATTAATAATAATAGTGATACTAATAATAGGTGTATAAATAAATAATATTAATCTAAAGACCTTGTAGGTCTACGTAAATCGCAAACTAATGTTCGATGATTGCAGAGCCCTACTAAATCAGTGTCCATACAATATATACTCTTTACTCAAATGATATGATCATTAACATCTTGTAGAATGCATGAATGTGTATAAATAAATACAGAAAATCCAACAAAATTCAAGCGCTTAAATTCCAGTGGCGTATCTATGGGCGTGGGCACGCGTACGTGTGTGAAGTGCGGCACGTCACATCCCCTAACTGGAAATTGGATTGTATTGGGTTGGATTTATTCGGTGTAAACACCAAGGATAGCCCACGTAATTCTATAAGAAGACACTTCCAGTGGGGTCCTTCTGGTTGAGCAGTACACCGGGAGAATCCCCTATTCTTTTCCGAAGAAGTTTTTTCGTCTCATCCGAAAGACGGTGCGCTATATCAAATTGTATTTCAGCCCTCCAGCTGAAACACAAGGATAGGCAGAGATGGGAATTGAACCGGGGACCTAGAGATCTCCACGGTTCAATTCCCATCGCTGCACAGTGGCTACCACCAGACTAGCTGACTGAGCTAAGCTCCTCTCTATGCATGGCATAGGAGGGGTTATTTGAGTGGAAGGAGCGAAGGTAAAGTTGGTGGGGGAAATTAGATAAGGGGCGCTAGCTGGGAAACAAGGTGATATTAGCTGATTCTAAATTATATTTGTTTTGCTCGGCAAATTAAGAGCAGCTAAGCTCAGTCGGCTAATCTGGTGGTAGCCACTGTGTGTGCACTGATTTCTAGGTCCCCGGTTCAATTCCCATCCAATCCAATCCATGCCAAAACTCTTATGCACCACTATCACAATGATGCCATAATGATTAGGCCTAACTGCCATAACTATCCGGATTTCAATATATCTGATTGGTACCTGCAACAGTGTGTGTGCTAAATACTTTCAATGAATATAAATAATAATAGAGTGTAACATGAAATAAACTCTTCTTTTCAGATCTACTGGCTGGCACCCATCCTAGGTGGAATCACCGCGGCCACATTTTATGAATGGTTTTTCTCACAACGTAGGTCGCGACCACGCCCAAACCATTAGACAGATACTAGTAATCAAGTTATGATGTAAATGTAACGTAAAAATATTGAATTCAATAATGAATTTGATATCATAGTGATACTATGAATAATGAATTTGATATCATAGTGATACTAATAATAGGTGTATAAATAAATAATATTAATCTAAAGACCTTGTAGGTCTACGTAAATCGCAAACTAATGTTCGATGATTGCAGAGCCCTACTAAATCAGTGTCCATACAATATATACTCTTTACTCAAATGATATGATCATTAACATCTTGTAGAATGCATGAATGTGTATAAATAAATACAGAAAATCCAACAAAATTCAAGCGCTTAAATTCCAGTGGCGTATCTATGGGCGTGGGCACGCGTACGTGTGTGAAGTTTTTGAAGAAGTGGTTGGCGCATCGGTTGTGGCTTGGACTCCCAACCTCGAGGTCGGGGGTTCGAACCTCTCGCTGTGCAAATCGCTTGTGTCCTTGGGCAAGGCACTTTATCTACGGTTGCCCCTCTCCACCCAGGAGTACAAGTGGGTACCTGGTAGGTTCCAACACTGCGCTGATTACTAGCCGCAATATTATGGAGATATAATTTAATTTAATAATTTCATTTAGTGTTTAATGTGTTCCATATGTGTTTGATCCAATGACCGGGGTAATAATGTGAAGCGCTTAGAGGCTTTGTTAAGGCATTAGGCGCTATATAAGAACGACATTATTATTATTATTATATCATGAAAAGAATTGCTGATGAGTGAGATTGTTTCTACTTGAATCGCAGCTGTATGTAAAAATGTTAAAAACAGTGAATACTTATAATGAAAATAATTAATACAATTAGCAAATTGCTCCATCGAGTGAATATTATTAATGTACTACTGTATTTGAGGCTATTGGAGTTGCACAACATTCGACTGACATAACTCGTCGATAATAATCTCAATTGTTAATCAGGATTATTTCAAATAATAAAATCCCGAAAATATTACTGTATATATATCAGTCTTAAGGTAGTATGAAACAAATTCCATTGAATTTGTATCCTTCTTAGTGAGTGGAATTGTTTTACAAGATACACAAGACCCGTCAATTATTAACATAATCATATACTTAAGTAAGAACATGTTTGTTACAATGTACCACCCAGAGGCCTGCACAAATCTGGAAGAAAAACGTTGTAGACCATCCTTTTGGGCGTCATATCATAAAGAACATGTTTGGATTTCCTAAATATGTCTTTAAAATATCGTAAAATAACTTTTTCAAGTTGGCCAAGTTTTTAAATCACAATACTTCGAATTGCAATCACAATAGCTTTGGTTTTATCGGCCAATTAATATTTTTACTTCGAAGATCTCAAGTGCTGTTGGACCAAGGAGTGAGTTCTTGTCACCCTCTGACACCCGCCCCACAGATGTCACCACATCATTAACACTTTTATTATAATAAAACAAGCCCTGACAGATTGTAAAAAACACCTTTTAATGGATTTAATGAAAATCGCACAATGAAAGTAAATTTACATTTCGAATGAATACCTGTCTATTCACAACTAATAACACTTTGTGTCTTACATACCGTACTTATTCGAATAAACACCCCGCTTTGAATAAACCCCACCTCGAATAAACACCCCCTCCAGAGCATAACAAATTTGGAATAAATGGCTCCCTCGAATAAATGCTCCGGGGCGTTAATTTTTTCCTCAAATAAACGTTTATGGATCAATAATATCCTCTTTTTTGTTGCTTTTTGTTTTTCCCTCCTTTACATTTTCTTTGTTTATTTCTGTTGTTTGTTACTGTTTTTGCAGTTGATTGGTTAAAGGTAATTTTGTTGTTGTTGTTGAATTATTGTTGTTGTTAATTTGATGTTTTTAATTTGAGCTGTTAATTTGTAGTTAAGATGTTGGATAAGAGTGCAAGTTTTTCTTGTTCGGGTTTATGCCCATTCTCTTTCCTGGCAATACTGTAACATGTCTTTTTGATGCCAAATAAATATTATTATTATTATTATTATTATTATTAAACAAAACAAACAGAAGCAACATAATTCTCAATATATCCTGTTAATATTCTACTCCAGTAGAATTATACTTTTTCTAATCTAGTTGTAATCAGTAAGTCTTCATGATCATCAGAGCCCTCTCGCCAGGATTTTGTTCAAGAGTGGTGGAATTTCAGAAAATGTTGTCCACAATGCAATAACACTTTTTGACGGTAATTATGTGTTGTAGTTCCACATTTAGAGTGAAATTAAGGGGCGTTTATATGAGTACAGTACATACATATCCATTTTACTCACAGAAAGAATGAACACCTCCCTCAAATATACGCCCCTCAAAACCCCTTCTAAACAATAAATGCCCTGGGGTGTTTATTCAAATGAATTCGGTAATTTAAACAAAAGTACATAAAATAAAGATCAATTCCTTATAAATTCAGTTTATTATAATAAATAAGAGGCGTTATCTCTCATTGGCACTTTAGCACCTTGAAAAATAAATGTATATTTGAAAACTAAGTGGCATTGTTCCATTTAACATACCATACTGCAATTATTAAATTCATTTGTTTATTCGTTCACCCACTCAGTTATACATTCATTATTTAAATAATTCATTCATTCATTCGTTCATTTATTCACCCATTCACTCACTCACTCACCCACCCATTCATCTATCTACTCAATCATTATTTATTCATTCATTCATTCATCCATGAATAAAAAATAGCAGTTTTATATAATAGCAATACATATTGCAATTCCGAAATTTATAAATTCATTCATTCACTCATTCATTCATTTATCTAATCATTATTATGAACACATCATTATCATAATCATAATTATCAGATCATCAAAATCACTATCATCATCAATGCAGCTGCTGGTCCAAATATTGATGTCAATGTGACTCTTTGTTATTGTAATTTCAGTTTTGTTTGAGTGATCTCATTCTACTTAATTCTAATCGCAAATTTTCGATAACATCATCTTTTTCTTTAAGCTGCTGATTTCTTTCTATTAGCTCCTTCTTTAAAGATTTTATCACCTGAAAATGAAAATAAAATCTTTTGATTTCGATACATTTCATTGATGAATAAAATAAGGAATAGGCAGTTGGCACAGAGTTTAAGGTTTGAATCACAAAATTTTCAAGTGTGCTCAGGGAAGAAATCTTTATCTACATTTCTCTCTGTCCATGTGTGTGTGTGGGTTGGTTGGGGGGGGGGGGAGGTGTGTGCTGAAGAAATCTTTATCTACATTTCTCTCTGTCCATGTGTGTGTGTGGGTTGGTTGGGGGGGGGGGGAGGTGTGTGCTTCTGTACCTACTGTCCCCATGAGAATAAAAGGATATTGATTTTCAAAGACAAACGTAACATGAATATGGCCCTGAAAGGCAGAATATGGCCCTGAAAGACAGAATATGGCCCTGAAAGGCAGGCAGACCTTGCAACGACCGAGGACATGATTGCATGGACAACACAACAACGAATTGTTTCAATAAAAGTTTAGACTGTCACTGACAATCAACAGTTGTCAAGCGTTTACACAGACCGGGGAATCAGGTGGATGGAATTTTTGGCCAACACTGTGCGTATCTGGCTATAGTCTGAGAGTACTGCTTTCATCTACTGGTTATAATTTGAAATTTGAAAAATACAACAAAATCTATGCAACAGGGAGCAGAAAATAGAGTGGATTACCTCATCCTTCGACATAGAAAGCTTGTCCTTCAATTCCTCTGCACTTGGCCGTCTGTGTGGTTCTTTAGATGTTAATTGTTCAATGACAGTGAACTACAAAAAACCAATAATTGATTCTTATGTGAAAAGTCATTAGCATCAATAGCAAAATATAATAAATGGGCAATTCCACAAATTTTACAGGTATAAGTAGTACATACATCTATCAATATCAAACTTGCTTGACCACTATAATTATAATCCACCAGAAAAATCACAATAAAAGTATAATAGTGCATATTGTTACAGAAACCTAAAACAGTAACATCATAAGAGAATACTGTACCTCATGTGGCCACCTGGTCTGTATCTCATCTGCAACATTCCCCTTTCTCAGGGCTGTAAGGCATTTTGATCTTTCCATCTGGCTCTTGAATGGGTGGTACAATTCATAGCATATTATACCTAAACTGTACATGTCAGACTGGAATAAAAATAAATTCATTTAAAGTAAACACTGTAGTCAGTTTCAGTTGGGCTTTACTCAGGAGGCATTCAGGTGGGTTGGGGATGTGGGGGGGGGGGAGATGGATAATTATGAAGGGGAAGTAAGTACCTGCTCTTTTAATAGACAGTTTTCCAATGTGACTAACCTTAACATTTCTATTGGTGAAATGGATACGAGGTAACTGGTCATGATCAATGAAATAAAAATTCACCAACAAAAAAAAAATTATCATAGCAATATCAGAAATGCATATAAGTAGTATTTAGCATGGTCATAATTTTCTTGCTTTAAAGGAACTGAAAAGCTAACTACAGCACATTGATTGTTAATGCTTAAGGTAAATTTGCAAAGGTGACATTTATCCAACAAAAATACAATGATGAATTCTCGCAATAACGATCACGACCCCTCAATCACAGCTTGCAGGTCATATCATCATCATATAATATATAAATGCACAAGCACCAAATATATTTACCTTATGATCATACATTGTGTCACACAGCTGCTCAGGTGATGCATAAGTTGATGTGCCGATGTCAGTTGTTAGTTTGTCATCAGGGATCATCACAACCTCACCTGCAAAACGATTACTTAAAACATTACCCTGTTATCAGGCTTTTTATTACTGGGCTAAACCATCTAAAGGTTGACAATCGCTGTCAGCAGCTTCATTTTTGATCAGCATTCTCATGTACAGTCGTATGGCTACACACAAATTACACTGTGATCAACATTCTTATGTCTAGATATAGTATTTTTGTATTGAATGCACTTGTCTATGATGAATGATACTTTATACTGATGTGCTTGAGGGGCAACAGTGGTGTAAAGAGATGAGATCTGTCAGTGATAATATATGGAGATGTTGAGGGAGGTAGAGATGCAGGGCGAGTAGGAGGTGTTGTTAGATATTTGTGTCAGTTGACCTATTGGTAGATTGCCTTTTATATTCCCATGCTAAACCTTTATGATAAACAAATCAGTTTGGGAAACATAGTGGGTCCATGCTACTGTTTTGTTTGGCAGCAAATAAAATGAATACTTACGAAGTTGGCGATCAAGTGTTGCAGTAGGTGTCATTGCACCTCTCTGTTCCTGTTCACGCGCTAATCCAAAATCACCGATGCAAATGTGCAATGCCTTCTCAGGACCAGCGAGGAAGATATTTTTGGGCTACAGAAAAACAAATTAAATTACATTGTATCTACAATTGAGGTGGGCCTACATACAAGGTGGATTTATACCCAAGACAAAATGGTAAGTCTTAATGCACAACTTACTTTCAGATCTCTATGCAGGAAATTCTTTGAATGTATATAGCTGATGCCTTCTGCCATCTGTTTGAAAACTGCTTGGTTAACTGACTCATCCACAATAGAGAAAACATCTGAATGAAAAAATGTGGGGTTTTCCAATAAAGAAACATGAGTGACCATTTGAAATAAACAATTAACAATCTATCTATCAATCATTAAATAATTAAACAATTAATAAGTCAATAAATCAGTCAAAGGCTGTTTGTAGCAGCACAGCTAATCACAGGATGAGAATGTAGGATGTTTACATTCTAAAGAAGCATGGGATGATTAATGCAGGCTTATCATTAAGTTTTCATAACAACTAGCACTGACAAACATTTTATAAGTTTGGTTTCCATACAATCGCTACACTCTATTGCTGACAGCCTTTGGTGATGCTGATTGGTCAATCAAATTGGGGAGTCTTCCCTATTGCGTTAGTGACTGCTACGTAGCACAACCATTGCACTGAAAACACTGTAGGGACAGTGTAACGATTATACGGAGACCAGACTTTAACATGCACTGATAAATGTGCAAAGTAATTGCTCTTTTTGGACAGAAAAAAAAAAAAAAAATCATACCACATCCTGTTGCTGGATCTCGATCATTCCTCTCTTCTAACCAGTCACATAAAGTTCTACTACACAGCTCCATCTGGATATACAAAATAACTTTTGAATTCTATAAAACAAAAAAACAATAAAAACATGTGTTAACTGCACATGTGTTAACCACCACTAAGGCAAGACTTTTCAATTCCTTATTTCGCAAACTTATTTTTTTAAAGATCGAGGAGGATGGGAAAAAAATTAAAATACAATTGTGGTTTCTTATTTAGCAAATAGTTTTGCCAAAAACATCCAGAAAATAAAAATAAAATGTCATTGGTGAATATAAACAGTGTATTAATGGGATGGTTAAATGCTTTAAATTTATATAATTAGGAAGAAATATACATATCTTATTTTTGGAGATTTCAAGGCAGAGGCGGGCGTAATAAAAATAAAGAAAAGCTTATATATTTTCCAGAAATTTCCATTTTTTATGGCGTCGGGTATGCTAATTGGCAAAAAATAAAATTTTATTTTTATTTGAAATAATCATTATTGGTGGGCGGTGGGTATACAAGGTATACAAAAGGTCTCACCTAAAGCTTAAGATAAGCAATGAAGATATCAACACAGATTGTACACAGAACATAGAAAACGTATCCATGTTTAAATAACTCAAATAAAATATTACAATGTGGATGTAATAACAATTTTAAATACAATAGAAATAAAATAAAAGTGGTGGTGTAGCTTGGTATGGTACTTAAGCTGCTGGCATTCCAATCCCAGGGTAATGAATTTTTAAGTCTACATAGTAACGGGATATCTTCACATGAGCTGCCTTGTTTGTAAGAGTATTACCAATACTATATATTAATTGCATAGATCTGTAAATTGGCTCTTAGTCAACAACTTTGATCCTTCAATGTTTTTTATTGCATTCTTATGTATCTCTAAAATATAGTACACAGACAGTAAAATAATCAAGTCTTCATTTATGCAGAACTGAACCCAAGCCCTTGGCAGGACAGCACATTAAGCATTAAAAAACTGTAGCTGCTAAATTCATTCATTACACAAAGGTGATCGAGATCAGAGTGTAATATAAATTACCACCCACCTCAAATTCTGAAGGATTATCATGATCCTCATGCTTTCTTTCCCGTTCCTCTTTCCTTGTGCCTAAACAAGCAGTGCTACTCAAGCTATGGAAATTATCTGTCTTCTTAAATGCTAAATTCCCATTACTTGCACCATCTGTCAAATCCATTTGAGATTCAATATGCTCAGAGTAACTCCCATTATTGGATCTCAATACATTATACGAGCTAAATCTACCACATAAATGTATGCTCTCTGTTTGTTTTGATGAAAAATACTCTTCAGTTGCTGATGTAGTGACATCTGTAAATTCATATGTTTCCATTTGTTCATCACTGGTTAACTGAAAGTTTTCAGAGTTCAAAACTGTGGTAGATTGTCTTGATGAGATTTTGGTGTTGGAATGTATGTGCACTTCAGATTCATATGTATCAGATTCAAACTTAAACTCCACATCACTCTCATCAATTTCCTCCTCTATAGTTGGATCACGATGAAATTCTAAATCTTCTTCAATAATTTCATCAGTAATTTCTTTGATGCTGCAGCTTGCAAGCACAAAGTCTGAAGAAATTGGTTTGCAGCAATCCTCGTTATCAACATCGTCACTGGAAGAGCTTTCTTGACGATTAAACCTGGAAGAAACCGATTATTTATTTGTATAAACAATGGAGTTATTTTTTGTTCATCTGTTGGGATGAGTAGGGTATTACCCTGGTGTACTGGTCCATACAGATCATGTTTTAATGAACATATGAGAGTAGCTGACACCAGTCTAATGGGTATCTCAAAAGCAGAGAAGACTTGGTTCTACCAACTGTACCCTGGGAAAGGAGCGGCTCAAACCAGTGCAGATCTTAAGGCTGTAGTTAGCTTTGCCACCACATTACCGGTCGGCCACTCGACTTGCTCATAGGAGAAGGAAATTACTGTACGAGGTAGTCTACATCGAACTACATAAGCAAGAGTAAATGTAAAGCAGTGGGTAGGCATAATAAAATGAAGGCAATGATGTGTACATTGCAGCATGTGTGATTATGGAACCAGCAGCAGGAGGACCAGTTTAAAGTACAAGTACATGACAAGCTCATCAAGCATGCAGGAAAACAATACTGTACTTACTCTATGGCTGGTAGACAGTTCCTGGGAGTTGATTGTGAAGGCTGGTGGTCTATCCAAGCTGTATTGTATCTTACTATGTTTGGATGCTGCATACGTGCTAAGAGGATAACTTCACGTATTACCTACGAGCATGAAAATAAATTAAATGATTACAAATATGCAAGATCAGCTGAATTGGTCACTGTCTTGAAATCAATTTAACTGTTGAGATTTATTTATTTATTGTACATCTGACAGTGTATACACCAATTACAGGATGGAAATATAAAATATACAGTATAAAACTTACACAACATTAGTAAAAAGCCAAAATTATTTAAAAATACAATCAAGAGTATTTAAAAGACTTGAATGTAACAAACTTAAACTTAGAAAAACTACAATGAAAAATATCAAATTTAAGATTATCACAAACACAATTATTATAAAGCAAAGACAGTCTACAAAAAATACCATTTTTAAAAATATTAACACGTGAAAATTATACATTTAAAATAGGTTTAGAACGAAGTCTATGAACAGGGACATTAAGATAGATATTAGAAACAATATTACAGGTAAACAAAATTAATTGGTTTACTTTTGAGAGTACTTTGCATTTCTCAGATTTTAGCGACATTTTCCAATTGGTAATTCACTGTCCGAGTTTGTCAAGGTCGGCCTGAAGTGCATGCGAGTCCTCAATGGTGGAAATTATTTTATATATCTTGAAGTCATTGGCAAACATAAGGCAGCTGGAATTTTCAAAAAGGTTGGGTATATCGTTCACAAAAATATTGAACAAAAAGGGGTCCTAAAATTGAGCCTTGTAGCACTTCAGAGAAGACAGGAAGTAAGTTTGATGTTTCACCTTCAAGGGTCACTCTCACGAATTGACCGAATCGACCACTAAGGTAACTTTTAAACCAAGAAAGCAAAATGCCATTTACACCATATTGATTAAGTTCAGAAAGCAAAAAAATTATGTGGCAATTTATCGAAGGCTTTACTAAAGTCAGAGTATTATATGATGTTGCATTGTTTTCTAGAGTGGATGGATACATTAGTGTTGCGAGATTCGTTTCACATGATCTACCGCGTAAGAAGCCATGTTGTTCAGATATTGAGGGAAAAATATGGTTTATCAGTTGTTTGTTTATAATTTTTTCAAATATTTTAGATATTGTTGGGAGTAACGATATAGGTCAATAGTTTTAAACTTCAGTCTTAGAACCACTCTTATGTATCAGGACAATGTTTGCTGTTTTCCATTGATCAGGAAATTTACCCGACTTTAAACTTTAAACTAAATATTCTTGAAATAGGAAGGGCTAAAGAAGATGAACAAAATTTAAGGACTTGATTGCTTATTGGATCATTTCCAGCAGCCTTATGTGTGTCGATGCACCCCAAGAGTTTAACAACCTCATCTTGGTGTACACTTATGTTGTGGAGGACATCACCATACGCTTCAGGCAGAGCCAGACACTGGGAAATGTCGCCAAAGTCTGAGAAAGCAGAAGCAAAATTTAGATTTGTTCAAAGATCAGAAGAAATAGACTAAGTATGTTTCATATTTGAATTTAGATAGTGTCTTAAAATTTCTTCTGGCCTCCTGGAAATTTTACTTAGATATTATTGATGGAAATTTTTTCAATACTTTATGATGATATTCTTTTGATTTTAATGCTTTTAGAAGTTCGGAGTCAAACCAAGGAGGACTTTTCGTTCGTAGTTTGGTAATGGAAACAAGGTCCCTGACAGCTGCATCAACAAGATAATAATATAAAGCAACACGTTCATTAACGTCATCCGTAAATTCAAGAATGTTCCAAGGAATTCTATTAAAAGTTTCTGTTAATTCACCAAAATTGGCTCGTCTATAATTAAAATTATAAAGATTATTATTTTTAAAATTAATTATTACTACTATTTACAAATTGAAGGGATAATGTAATAGATTGACGATCTGATACAAAAATATTCTCTCCTACAAAAATGTTAGATATTATATTGGTATTACTGCACAGAGCTAAGTCAAGGATTTTGTTATTGCACATTTTAAATTTGTTACATTGAGTGATATTGTGTCCATTAAAGACAGTGTCCATAATATTTTATGATGATATTCTTTTGATTTTAATGCTTTTAGAAGTTCGCCGTCAAACCAAGGAGGACTTTTTGTTCGTAGTTTGGTAATGGAAACAAGGTCCCTGACAGCTGCATCAACAAGATAATAATATAAAGCAACACGTTCATTAACATCATCCGTAAATTCAAGGATGTTCCAAGGAATTCTATTAAAAGTTTCTGTTAATTCACCAAAATTGGCTCATCTATAATTAAAATTATAAAGATTATTAATGTTACATTAAACTTAAGCTAAATCAAATTAATTTTTGATAAAAACAACATTTATTGATTGAATGTACGTTGTTTTCGTACCTATATTCGGTGGGGGTTCCCAAAGATGGGCATGGCCCGCCCGTAGACTGAGTGCCCCGCCCACTGGCTTCCATTTTGGACGGCCTATTTCGTTTTTCTGGCTAAACCCCTGATTTGGTCGTTGATACCGCAACTTACACATATCTTGTGTGCAGGCATGAGAAATAATAGTAGTTGTGTATTTTTTTATTGGTGAAGCCGTGTAAACAGGCAAAACCATTAATATATTGCACAACACAAGCAGCAGTACTACACCCGACGCCATCATATTGTGTCCCTGTATATATTTAAAGATAAACTATCAGAATAAAATCCAAAAAATACTACAAAAAGTGAATCCAAAGGCTGAATTAATCAAAAATCCCAATAAGACAGAAATAGAAACAGTTTTTACAAACTTACAAGCCTCATTCACACCAAATCCAAATTTTCAGATCGGAAGGCCTACCGAACCGAAGGCCTACCGATCCGATCAGGAAAAGGATACTGCTGTTCAGCACATCGGAAACGCATTCTGAATTTCAAGAAACAGTAAATAATATTAAATATATCTTTAATGGAAAAATGTTGTTGACTTACTTTCTCGTAGAATTCCTTATCGGTGCCTTTTAACTTAATCTTCTTAATTGCATATTCTTGGTTATCTAAGATACTACGCACCTGCATATGTAAAAGAAAACAGTAGAAAAACAGTCAATAAACAATAAATATAACTACGTAAAATACAGTTATTAGATTGTTTTATTTACTTATAAAAATGTGCTTTTTTAAATGTTGAGGATATTAATAAGGATAAGGTCGATTTGATAATGATGATAAGGTTGATGCTGATGATAAGGTTGATATTGATGATAATGATTAAACGTTGATAGTAAGGTTGATGCTGATGATAAGGTTGATGTTGATGATGATAAGGTTGATGTTGATGATAATGATGGTAAGGTTGATAGTAAGGTTGATGATGATGATAATCATAAAGTTGATGTTGATGATAATGATAATAAGGTTGAAGTTGATAATAATGATGGTCAGGTTGATGTTGATGATAATGATGGTAAGGTTGATCGTAAGGTTGATGCTGATGATAATGATAAAGTTGATGTTGATGATAATGATAGTAAGGTTGAAGTTGATAATAATGATGGTCAGGTTGATGTTGATGATAATGATGGTAAGTTGATGTTGCTGATGATGATGACAATGAAGATGACGAAGATGATGATGATGAATAAACGGTATGATACTGTATTACCTTGTAAACACTGCCAAATCCACCTTTGCCAATACGTTTTAATTCTACAAAATCTTTTTTGTATCTGGAAGTCACCTGAGGCGATTGTTTCTGAAAGTTTGGATTCAGGAAAGATGGGAAAAACACTGGACTACGGTTTCTCAAAAATGCCTTTCTAATCTGCTCAGTAACACCAGTAGCTGGCACTGACAAATATCTTTCCTATATTAATACAGAAAAAATGTTGGATTAGAACCTATACTTGAATTTAATATTATGTGAATTTATAATATATTTATCAAACTTTTAAAATATAATATAGTCAAAATGAACAGGTATTCTAAGAAGACATCAATAAAACTATTGGCTTAGAAACGTGTTATATTATTTATCCACACTGCATCTATTTTGAAGAACCTCCTGACCCTTATCATCAGCTAATTCTCTTGATAAGTTTGTTGGTTATGATTTTTAAAACCTAAATATAAAAAATATGTCACCCACTAAGTAAAATAAAATTACAATACAAGTTTAGCGAATTGTTAACCCTGCTTAAAGCCAATTACAATTTTGTTGATTATAACAGAATAGCTTACCTCTGGATCGGCATGTGAAGCTGCCAATGCAGTGTAAAGGAAATTCCTAATTGCTATTCGGTAGTTTGTTCTAACTTGTTGAAACTCATCCTGGGTTGTTGTTACAGGAATCATCTGGAAGAAAATATCAATGTCCAGGTTTCTAGATACAGAATCAATTCTTTTGCAATTCAAAGAAACTTTACATAGGATGATAATGCAAACAACACAATCACTACTTTTATTTTTCTTTCAGAAGCTGTACACCTTTCAACCTGATGCTTAATTGCTACTACAAATGCAAAGTATGGCACTCATTTAAACAGCAATAGATCAATTTAATTATTTATTATTACTGTATATTTTTAAAAAAAAGAAGATAGATTCGATACTGGTAGAAAAGAATAGGGCTTGCATATAGCTACAGGATACACACCTTGGCCTTTGACAAGTATCCACTCAGGTTCTTGAAGAGAATTCTCTGCTCTCGGCTGTCCTTAGCATAACAGGCACATAGTTCCTCTAACAATGAAACCATACACATCTCACTCGGAATTCTTCTCAAAAGTCTTTGTGCTTCAAAGGTTTCACTAGATGATGAACTCTGATCTGAATCTAATTCAAATTTTGAACGAAATTAAAAGCAAAACACATTATATAAATCTAATTACAAGTGGTGAAATACAAATGTAAACAAACAATAATCCTGTGATTGGCTACTCATCAATCACTCGCATGTCAGCAAAACAGTATCACTCAGGAGCACTGTAGGCAATTCAGAGACACAGACAGAACACACATTAGGTAATTCACCTGTAAAATATTCACCTGGAATTTCTCAGCTTATTAATCATTGAAAATAGATAAAACCTATATCACACAAGGAATTACATGAATCAAATGAGCTTGAGGCATACAGTACATGTAAATAATATTTAAAGCTCAAGCTCATAAATTCTATATATATATTCCTTGGAGAAGGCAATTCAGAAAACATAGAAAACAGACAGCACATACATTATGTAATTTTCAACCAAAATATTCACCTGGAATTTTCCAGCTTGTTAATCATTGAAAACAGATAAAACCAATAGCACACAAATGATTACATCAATCAAATGAACTTGATGTTCATGAATTATAATACTATTTTACAGTGTAGATTTGTAAAGTGGTGGTCATTTTTGTAATGAAGTAAAAAGTTCTAACTGACTTTTTTCTAATAGCCTAAAATATTAATGTCTGACAACTAACCATCAAAATTTGAAATGGTTACTGGAGGTGGTAGAGTACATTTGCGCTTCTTTGTTGACTCCATGGTTGGTATGTCTACAAAATAGAGAAGAAATAAAGCTAGGTAATATGCAGCAGAATATAGGCCTAGGACCTAAGCAATAAACCTTTTTTAGGTCCATGAAAATAGTTATTTTATAAACTACCTTATAAAAAAAAAGGTGGAGGGGGGGGGGGGGAAAGGGGTCCAAAATATTGCTAATACACTTTCACACCTAACTTTTAATTCTTAAATTTTTTACCTCAATGTTCTTCTCACAGTCACAACATATAATTATCAAACATTTTTACATTATTCAACGACTAACAAAGTACATTTTTCAACAAAGAAGATACCTTTATAAATAGAGGTTGATACAGTGTTTCCGTGCTTGCTAGCCCAACGAGTTGTACTATGTTGCAATCAATAAGAAATTGCCAGAATGCCTGAGTCAATTCTTAAATTTTGAAACAATTAAAGGGCAGTCTTATAAATTTGAATTGGAATTTCCCCATGAAACATCCGACAACCAAATGTGGCATCATGTAATATCATCTTTTTATTTAACTTTCTTGTCGTATCGAGGTTCATCAAACCGCCGTTTAGCATTGGCTTTGGTAGTTGTTCTGCTGGATTATGCCATTAAATAGGCCAAGGCCCTATTTGTATACCATATCTGTGTATGCATTTAGATCATTACTAATTTTTTAAAAGTAATTATTGTACATGTGAATTTCATTTCAAACAACACCATAGAATATAACGCATCTGAAATGACATACGAATGCATATAAATAAGTTTTCATAAATGTTTAATAACACAAAACTCTGCACTGTAAACTCAGCCATTTTGCCAATTTCTTACTGATTGCTAAATGACAGCAGCTCGTTGTGCTAGCAACATACAATTGATGTACTTATTTGTTGAAAAAAGTACTTTTAAGTTGAATCATGTGAACATGTTTGACAATTAGGCTAGGCCTATACAGTATGTTGTGACTGTGAGAACATTGAGGTAAAAAAATTAAAAATTAAGCCTAGGTGCGAAAGGGGTGTCGGCTAATCCGTACACAAACCAACCTGTACCCACTTTGGCTAACCCGTACACATATTTTTGGCGACCCATACACGTGTTTGGTTAACCCGTACACACGTCATTGTGGTCAACCCGTACCCAAAAGAACTTGTTAGCCAATGTTATGATGATAAATGTTTAAATATTGTATTTATTTTCAATAAAGCTGATAAGGTACAGCACGTACATGTACTACAGTTCTATGGTATTTTATTTTTGTTACACATTTCGGTCGCAGTGTATGGATCGCTGAATGTGCGACCGCAATCTACCACAATATTGTAGCTAAGCATGCAGTATACCAGTACCGTTTGTTAAACACGAAACTATACTAACTATAATTATGTTATTATACAGCACTACAGTATCACTTGTTAGTTTTCTTTATAGAAAAACAACGAAGGTTACTAAGTTAACTTGGTTTGAGAAACGTTTCTATTATTGATATATATTTTGATGATGTTGTGTTAATGCTTATTAAATAAAAGATTTATAAAATAAGTGTAGTAATGTGAAAAGATTAGTTTGTTTTTTCTGATACGTTTCGATTTCTTTCACCATAAATGTTCTAATGACTAGTTTAAAATGATACATATAAAGAAATTAAAATAGACTGAATGGTATAATGATAAATGAAAAAGGAAATATATAGTATTTTCATATTCATTTTCCATATCAAATTATTAATAAGTTTATAATTACATACTGTACAATTTATTGGCCACTTGAGGCTTCTTTTATGGAAATATACGTTCCCACGAATATAGATTCCCACAGTACTCTTAATTCGAAGGCTGAGACACATTGTTTTGATACATATTCTGATGTTTATAAAATACACAAATAAATGGAAATATAGTAAAATATAGTTTTAATATACAGTAATGTATATTAAATGGGGTTTCGGGCTTTTTTTTTAACAATCAGGAACAATTCAAGTAGTACTAGTTGCCTGGAAACTAACTATAACAAAAATCGGAAAAGAAATTTTCCACAAACTGGTTCCCACCTACTCTTGAGGGTAAGATTCTTTGTACGCCACCTTCAGGAATGTGGGCACATTACTGCAAAGAGAAAATATGTCAGATGATGTTAAAAAAAATCTAGCTATTTTTAGGTGGTGCAAACATGTGTGATTGCAGTGAAGGTGTCACATGTATTCACCTACTGTAAATTCATACACATGTTACCATTAACTTTGTATCATCTCTGCTACTGGTATCATATCAAAATACACAAATTAGTGGAAATATAATATAGTTTTGACAAAAATGAACGTATAAAAAGAAAAACTAGTAGGCGCAGACGATGCAATGGCAGTGCAGGCATACATGTGGGTAACAGTAACTTTATTTGTATAATTTTACAAATCAGATATAAAAGTATATTGATTCAACAAATACATCAATACCGTAACAAAACACAGAGGCCTTTATTATAAATAATTCAGAAATTGATAAATATAACTATGTATTTTACAATTGACTTTTCACTTCTGGGAACTGCAAGAAGAAAAAGAACATTGTTTTTCAATATTGAACGCTACATAACTATACTAAAAAACACGCTAAAATTATATTGAAATTTATTGTAATTAAAATTTCTCTGAAACAATAGCAATCGTAAAAAACTAAAATGCTGAAAAAAATACAATAAAATATTATGTATAGTCAAGCATCGTAAAAAAATCCAAAATCAATACTAGGTCTAAAACAAAAAAACTATTTAAAAATACAAAACCGTTTAAAAATTACTTTCCGAACATTAAAAGTAAACCACCATGTGTGCATCGGTGTTCCATACGCTGTTAATCGCGACCAAACGTGTCTAGGCCTCAGCGATCATGAATTTCTTTATTTAAATTTAATGCATGCTCGGTAAAGATAATTATGTATTCTGTAAGTTTGCGTTCATAATATAAATTAATATGATTACTATCTAAATATACAATACAGTTTGCAAAATATTTTATTATAGTAAAAATATTATTCATCAAACTTGGGTACGGGTTAGTGTACACTGTATTCGGTTTAACCAAAGATGTGTACGGGTACAGGTCGGGGTGCAGGTCAACTCGGCCACAGCCAACTCGGCCACAAGTCAACTCGGCCACAAGTTATTTAATGTAAATCTCAGTTTTTGAATTCTTTTTCTACAATATATGATTGAAATAAAGTACACAGTGTATTTTAGTAAAATAGGACCACCACACTACCAAAAGAGATTTGAATGCTATTGCCTATGAATTAAAAAGAGTAATGTATTCATCTTCTGTTTACTCACAACATTCTACTTCAACAATCTAAACAACAATAACGATAATAAATTAGTAATATTTACTTTAATAATACTAATTAGTCATTATGATGATAATAAATGTGATAACAACAACATTAATAGTAATATTTATTTTAACAATACTAATAGCAATAATACTAGTATGGTAATAATAACGATATTTAAATTTCAATTTTAATAACTAGGTAGTGATAATAACGATATTGAAGGTGATAATAGCAATAATACAACAATAATAAATTAAAGATATGTTTATTTTTATAATAATAGTAATACTAATTAGTAATAATAATAATAATGATATTTATAATACTAGGCCTACTTAGTAATAATAGGTTAATAATATCGGTAATAACGGTGACAACAACAACAATAATATTAATAATAATAATAATAATAATAATATGAGAAAAATATCAATAAAACACCAATAACAATAACTTTTTAAATTACTATTATTAAAATAATAATACTAAGACTAATAAATAATAATAATAATAATAATAACAATAATAATAATAATAATAATAATAATAATAATAATAATAATAAAAAATCGAAAATTATTCATATGGTACTGTAATAATAATATCAGCAAAAATTTGAACAATATATAATGTTAATGCTAAGACTAATAATTAATATTAAAACTAACGGTAATAAAAACAACAATAATAAAAATGACAACAATAATAACAGCAATAATAATAACAATAAGTATAGCAATACTTAAAGAATTAGTATTTTATACTTGATGAATTACTCTTCAAAGTGTAGTACCAGTAAATGACTTGTGGCCGAGTTGACTTGTGGCCGAGTTGACTTGTGGCCGAGTTGATTTGTGGCCGAGTTGACTTGTGGCCGAGTTGACTTGTGGCCGAGTTGACTGTAGCCAAACTTTTTGTGGCCGAGTTGACTTGTGGCCGAGTTGACTTCTGGTCGAGTTAACTTGTGGCCGAGTTGACTGTGGCCGAGTTGGATCGAATTCACGAGTTGTGGGTATGGGTTGGCATGGGTACGGGTTGACTTGTATTTGTGCGAAAGTGCATTAGGCCTAGCGTCATGTTTCCTCTCAAGTATTGGGTGAATCCGGTTAATTAGCTTTCCTAAATAAAAACATTGCATTTTTCAGCATAGGCAATACCCATGACAAACTTACTTCATTGTCCGACCTGGCCTAGGTCTACCTCTAGGCTACAGCCTATGCTAGGCCTAGCTAGCTAGGACTAAGGACTGGTCTAGGCATGTCTGTGCCGTCTGCGTGGCGGTAGGCTGCTGGTAGTAAGTAGTATAGGCCTAGGCCTATAAATACACTTAAATAAAATAGGCTAGGCCCCTAGTTAGGGCTATCTGAGTATCATAGGACTTACTTACTTACGGGGATACCAAAGCAAATCTTGCGAAGACGTTTAATGATGAATGATCAGCTATCTGTCCTGACCATTTTTCTAGAATGTATACTGTGTAATCAAAGATAATAAATAACAATAATAGTAATATCACACCCAGTGGACCAATTATTATCCTGCTTTGACAGCAGCAGACTTGCACATTATTGCATCTTTGGCTGCACTTGTTGGTTGGTACGTCCCTTTGCTACGTCCTTACGTCATTATATATATTTTTACCGTTGAGGGCGGTAAAAGAGGAAAATGGCAGAAAAGTTTGATGTTTTGTCGGAAAGTCTTGAGAGATTTATCGAGAATACTCGCCAACTTGGCATAATAGTCGCAGATTTCCCACCTCAAGGACAAAACACACTTAATCAGAAACTGTAGGTCAATTGAAATGTACCTTAGGCCTTGGCCGGTCTAAATATAATAATATAGGCCTAGGCCCCTAGCTAGGTAGGCTACTAGGGTGGGTGGCTACCACTGTACCAGGGTGGGTAGCCTACTACTACTAGGCCGTACAGAGCCCCTAGCTAGAATAGGCCTAGTACAGGCCGGCTTAGCCTAGGCCGTAGCTAGGCTAGGCCTAGTAAAAGCTAGTAGCATGGGTTAGGCCTAGTCACCAAGGTCACTGCTGTATGACTGGCCACTGTATGAGACATGCCTAGCAGCTAGCATGTCCCTGACTATTCCGAACATACGTAGATCCTGTTTTAATTTGATAAATTGATGTGCTTCTAGACTAGGCTAGGCCCAGACCTAGTAGGCCCTTAATGTAGTAGCACATCAATTTATCAAAAACAGGATCTAGCCTACGTTAAGTTAAATTTTTCAACGTGGCAAAGGAATATAGTATTTGTACCTATCTTGGTATAATGGTGAGTGTTCATAGGATAGCCGTTGCCAACCCTAAACTTCTTTATCATTTACTGAAATCGCGTTTTGTACCGTAACTCTAGACACATCATTAATTTTTTTCATGTTGTGTGCATATACTGTATCATGATATTCAGTCATACAATCTGATCTTTTGATAATGTGTTTTTCTTCAGCCATGTAATGGTAACAGGTTTACAAGAGCTAGACAAACTCAAAAGCCAAGTACAAGATGTCCAAGTACCCATGGAAGTATTTGAGTAAGTAAAAAAAAACAAAAAACATGGATTCTTTCTTCTGTTAAGCTGGCAATTGTAGATTGGGCATCAATCAATTGAGCAGAATAGTAGCCAATTACTATATATCTGGAAGATGTTTTGAAGATGTTGAATGAACATGTTGGCATCAATCCTAATCGCTTGTTCAAAGGCTGCTGAACAACAGCTTGGAGGGCATCAAACCATGTACGCTCAGACTGTCAATCATATCATTTTCCAGAGAAACAACAACAGTAATAATAATAATAATAATAATAATAACAATAATAATAATAATAATAATAATAATAATAATAATATTTAAATAAATAAATATGCATTATGCTGAAAATAAAGATACAAATCATTATAGCAAAGAATTTGCTGTTCTCTCTCTGTAAAAACAGTGTATGTCAATTGATATCAGTCAATGAAGGGCTGATGTCCTCAAGACATAGGACAGCTAACAAAACAAGTAACAAGTTATCCAGTAATATTTCAGTCAATGACAAATCACTACATTAAGTATTTGCATACTTGAGTACTGTAGTAGTACTTTTCTACTAAGGTATGAATATATTTATACCTGGGTATTCAAATATTAATATTAAATAGTAAACTAGACTGTATTTTTTTTTAGTTAGATGAATGTAGTTTTAGTATTCTAAATTTTAATTATTATTAATTTATAATGCAAGCCCATAGGCAGGATTTTTAAAGGGGGGGGGGCGCGTTGCGTTTATAATTTTTCACAAAAGGGCACTTTGAGTCCACATCGACCTCCACCCCACCATGATGATTTGATGATATTGCCGTTTTGCTGAGAAGTCAATTCAACATCTCCGCCTCGGCTGCTCTGCTTATGTTTCTGATAAGTTCTTTCCAGACTGATCTGCTTTTTGCTGTGTTCTTGAATGATGTGTGACACGGAGATGTTGACTGGCTGAGGTTGTTCAGTTTTGTGAGGTCATTATGTAAGGTGATCGATAAAGTAGTTCTTGGTCTTCCCCTGAATTTGATATTAGTGGTCGTGCTGAAATAATAATCAATAGCTGTATTCGTGGGTGTTGGTTGAGTTGAGTTAAATTTTAAAGATATAACATCTCAGACGTCCAGAAATGGCAATAAAAATGCAGAATTTCAAATACTTTGAGTTAATTTCAAAACTTTTATGCAAATGTTACTTTTTAGTAATGATTTAAAAGGGCATTTTTTGAAAAGGGGGAAGAGGTTCTTTCAACCCCCCACTCCCCTGCAGGCTTATAATACATTTATGTATCATTGTTCATCATCAGATATATAGATCAAGGAAAGAATCCACAATTATACACCAAGGATTGCATGGAGAAGGCAATGGTGAAGAATGAGCAGGTGAAAGGCAAGATAGACACAATGAGGGTAAATAAGCTATCAGTATATAATTAACAATCATTAAAATGAATAATCTAAGTTAACCTCATACATATTATTACATTAAGAAGCTACAGTATGAGTCACATAAAAACAAACTACATAATGTCTCAGAACTTCTTTCCTCCCTAGTGCAATAAACCTATCTAATCAGAGCTTCATAAGATAATGTCTAATGTAATAATACTGTACTGTTTTATCTTGATATTCCCCCTGATTTTTATTTTGTATGTATTTTAAAGTATTTAATAATTGTAATTTGTAATTGATTCGTTTTTCAAATTCCAAATACTGTATTATAGTTCAAGTTTATCTTCACTCCAAATTAATTTGTTCAAAGAATTGTAACATTGTTTTGTAGCTTTCATTTATGGCAATACTGTTTTGAAATTTTATATATTTTTCATCATCTTTCTTTGAAAAATGAATTTCATTTGTTTTATGATGTTGTAAACATGACAAATAAAAGAAATCTTTAATCTTGAATCTCAATTTTGACCCTAGTACTGCATTATGTCAAACCATGTCAAAGCAAAACGAGAACTTATGTGTATGACTGCATGACATTATGTCATAGATAACCTGTATCATAGGTTATCCAGTGGTGGCACCAAGATATGCCTGACCGGAGACAAATTGTGTTGAGCTCTTCAGACCGTAGGGGCACAGCTCTCTCTAAATGGGAGACTCTGGCTCCGGGCCTTCTCCTACTTGCACTACCACTGCAGTTGTCATGCAAACAAAGACACCCTATGTATTAATTCCACCTCAAAATTAAATTTGAGCATACCAAGAGCGCAGTATGGTCAGTTTTAGCCAGTTGACTCAACCATTTGTTAACAAATAATTTTTTTTTTTTTCACATTCAGAAATTCAAATCTGTTCTCATATTGGAACTAAGCAAGATGTTTCCCGATGAAATGGATAAATACAAAGATATTCGTGGTTAAGTTCACAGGAAGCCAGGAAATATTTAATGCTGCCATACAAGAAAAGGGCATAGGCAGAAAGAGTGTTGTATGGTACAACCAAGCTTCTGTTCCTTTGCTTTGAGTAGATGATAAGCTGGTGGCTTCTGTATGCTTGAGGTGTAAGCATCCCAGCTTTGCAGCAGGTCCAGCTGAAAAAATTTTTCCGTGGTACGACTTGCATAATTTTTCTGATTAGGGTTGCCGAATGTCAGTAGTCAAAGAGAACAATTGCCAAGATATCTTATTGCGCTGACACAAGACCAATAAAATACAATCTCCCAAGTGTTAATTATATTGCCATATTTATTTCTAAACTGTTTTAGTTTGCATGTATGTTAGGGCAAGGGCATGTATATTATTGCATCACACAGACACACACCAATAATATCTTTATAATTTGTTCAATTATATTTAAATATGAGCTAACAAAGGCTACTGTATGCCTAGGTGAACCCCCAGGGATTAAAGGGCCTTCAACATGTGCCTATGCTGCTATGCAACTATATTTCTATACACCTAGAAGTGTAGGTGTATGCTGCTATGCACTTACTTTTCTATACACCGATAAGTGTAGGTGTATGCTTGAGAGGTCTTTGCTACACTGTAGTCATGGTTATTCAGTACTTAATAGTATTGTATATGTGAATACCCACAGTGTTGAAAAGGCCCTGATAACCTCTAAAGGGTGATATAATCTTGATTTAAATCCAATTTTCACACGATGATCCTATATTGTATATTATAGTAACTGTATATATATGTTAAACAAATGTACTGTAGTTTTACATAGAATAAAGAAACAACGTAACATTGTTTCTGTTATGTAGAATATGATTAAATATGTAATCCAGTATAAGTTGATAATGTATACTGTCATTACTGTCATTTTGGATTAATGTTTGCACAGCATGGCGTTGTACTTATCCCACCTACCTTTAAGAACTCCAAAGACTCAGAGCAATTCGTGCCATCACTTGGTCTGATTCTGTTTCTTGTTTTTATCACAAATATAACATATTAAAAATCAACGATATTCATAACTATCAAATTGGAATCATTATGTATGAACTTATTAAACTTAATGACTACCGCCTCCAATCTATACTAGGGATTGATCACGACCCAACACAATTCATATAACACTAGAAACAGAAGCTAGCCATGTTAGACCCAAACATAAGCATCTTTATAATACCAGTTTTTGTACAGTATTTCTTTTGTTGGGCGTAGATATCATTTCATTCAGATTTACAAAATCCAAATGTAAATACTTTTAAGAAAAACTTAAAAAAAAACAATCATGGCTTACGTTTATATATACCTAATATTATTTTTCCGTTTACTACCGGAAATTAAACTGAATGTTATATATTTGAATTTCGGTTCCACTTTATACAAGCTATATAGTTTCTGTGGAAAACTTTCATTTGAACCTTGATGACTTTTGTTCACTTATACTGTTATTATATATAGTTTAAAAGTTTTTCAAAAGTCTCTGTATATTTGAATTATTATGTTTGAATGAGAAATGAATAAATGTTACTTTACTTTAAAACAATATATAAAGATGTAATTTTTTAATTCTGATAATGTTCATTGAACGTATACAGTGTAGCATTTTTTTTTGGAGAAAGTAGAATAATAATTTTCATTAATGGCACATTGAAGGATATGACAAGTGAAAATCAGTTAAGAAGCTTGTGAAACTTTGTCTGAAGATATCTGCTTTTTAATCATCTCCATACAAAGTTTTCATACTTTGTAGTATTCAGTATTTAAATACTTCACATACAAACATGATTGAACTCCACTGACAGTAAAAAAAAAATATCAATCCATAATCGGCAACATTTCTATGCACATAACATATAGAATATAATACTGTAATGTATTCCTTTTATAAATATATTATTACATAATTGCACATTCTTTTAAATTAGATATCAGTTTGTTTGACAATGGAGTAATTCGAATCTGGCTGTAGTTTAATGTACATCATGTTTGTGGTGGTGTTTGATTTTTCTTTACGTTTCTTTTCCAGTTCGCGCTTACAGTAAATCCAGACGTAAAGTGGTAGAAAATGCCCAAGTAAGGTCACCACGAGAAGGATTATATGAACCTAGAAAAATGTAAAAGACAAATTCATTAATTCCACACACATTATTATAAAAATAAAAATTACTCATACTCTAAAAAATCGTACTTTTATTCACAGACACTATATCTGGTCTGTGTCGTAGTGATACCAGGCACAGTGTCTTAAAAGCAACAATAAAATTACAGTAATATGAACGTAAACATATAAATCATCCACAAGTTGGACCAGAAATACTTTTTTTTGTAATTATGTTTCATTTATAATTTAATTTAACTATATTAAATAATAAAATGTAATTATTATATTGTATTATTTAATATACTGTAATTCCATTAAATATATTGGTAGATTAGTTAATATGCTTGGAAAGTGGTTTGGAGTGATAGGGGATTTCCTTTGGTAATCGGAAAACACAATGGAGTAATGTCATTAATAGGAACAAAAACAGTGCGTTTTAGTGGTGGGTTATCCACTAAAACGTGTTTTAAAAGCAGCAATAAAATTAATGTGAACATCATATTAACTATTCATTCACATTATTTTGCTATTGATTGGTGTACACGTGTAAATAGAGAGGAAAATGTAGTAACATGGGGGAATGTCCTTACCAGTTGGGGGTTTCCATCTGGTGAACTCTGAGATAGACGAAGTAATGGCGTTTGAAGAAATGTTGAAATACCCGAACTTAGATACACAAGTCCGTAAAACTTGCCAAAGTGTTGTTTGGGAAAGCTATAGAATGAAATGGTTGATACATTATATTGATCTCTGTCAGTTGGTTTATCGTTGGTAAATATTTGTGGCTTACGATTATGATACAGCAGTAAGCCATAAAAGTATTAGCATAATTTCCCTAACGGCAAAGTTCTTTAAAAACACAAACCCTCAAACCAGTGGCGTAGATGGGCATTGTAGCTTGTGCAAAGCACTGGGACCCGGGGCTTTTGGTTATAGGCATATATATCTAAAAGTATAACTTAAAAAATTCCTACTTAAAATTTCCCCTCAGTACGGTAACATTACGTTTCAGAGGTCATAATTATATATTATGTTCATTACAATTTACCTATGACTGCCATCAAACACTACAAGATTACTTTTTACAACAAAAAAAAAATGCCATGAGCAGCTCAGTGGCGGCGCCAGTGGGGGCGGGGAGAGAGGCGGGGTGGGGTGGGGGACAGCAAGGCCACCCCCATCGGCCAAAGCTAGTCAGGCAGTCGGACCAAAAAAAAAAAAAAAAAAAGATAGGCCTAGTTTTCCCATCCCAGCCATTTCCGGCCATAGCAGTCCCAATGTTTTAAAAAAATCCCGTTGGAATGAGGAAATACACCTCCCATACCCTCCCCTGGCTCGGCCTTCGGCCCTCAGATAACGCTGCGCGCTATAGTTACACCCATAAATACTTAGCCCCCAGTCGGACATCTTAGCGCCCCCCCCCCCAACCCTCCATAAATCATATCCAAAAGCCGCCACTGGTGCAGCTTCGTATCTGTTGAATACAATCATGGTTATTCCCTTACATAATTGCTTCGTACCACGGTACGATGCACTAAAATACTTTTTGAAAGCATATTTCTAAAGCAATTAAAATATCGGCATGCACGTTTTTGTTTGTTGGTTCAACTATATTGTGCACGTTTTGGAATCACGTCATCATCCATAGGCTCACTTCATGAATAGGCCTACGTTATACTTGACTGGAATCAGGTCATTGGTTGTTCTATTGTTGTCAATATTAGACTTTTTCAGATTCATGAAATTCCCAATATGCCCCTAAACGATGAAATAGTCCTATAGGTATACAGTATGACTTTTTGACTACATATTGTTCTCAATATCGTTGAATATGTTTTCGAATATTTTATAAATATTTATACTCGTTATAATGCGTATCTGTTTTAAGCAATTTCAGAATGTATGAGCATTAAGAGTTTTGCCTAAGTAGATCCCACCAAGGCTCTGTCTCTGCGTCCGTTCAGGTGCCATTTAGGGCCCGCCAATTATTTTGCACTGGGGCTCCGTCTGAGGGCCATCAACCCCTCGCTACACCGCTGCCTTAAACATAATCTTGAAACGAAAACAATTTAATATAATTTATAAATTGCAATTGACATAGAAGTATTAAACATTATTCATCATATTGTGTTCGACATGAGATGATACAGTACTAGTATTTAGTATTTAGACATTTTTATAAGAATATACTTAGCCTACACCTCAAGTTTCCTACATTGGAATTTATTTTATTGAAAAAGATCAGGCACTTACACAATTGCAATGAACGACGATATAACAGCATGTACAAATCCTCTATTAATTGTGACGAGTACAAAGGTGATTAACTGAAGAAGAAATAAACAATGCATTATTTGGAAAGCATGGAGCCTACATGACGTACGCTTGTACTGAAATGAAGACATAATACCGTACGAATCACTAAAAGCACACGCTTGATGTGAGGTATGGGGTGAGTGTCACATAGTGTGCGTCAAGTGTGTGCGTACGCCTGTGCAAGGACGTAGCCAGGATTTTGAAAGGAGGGGGGGGGGCGTTGTGCGAGGTGTGTAGGACCCCGTTGGGGTCCAGAGGGACATTTCGTGAGTCGACACCCACCTCAGACCCAAGGGGTGAGGAGCGAAAATCTGAGGAAATAGTACCACTAGATGGCCAGAAATGACACTTTTAGTAAAATTCATCATCATCATATTACCATTTAATCAAAATGTAGCGCCAACAAATTTCTCACGATCTTTTATCAGAGATTTTCGGCAATTATGGAGATCTTATTAATACGTGAGATGTACCATAGAAAATAAAGCTTAAAAAAAACATTGTCTTTGGGTATGTACTTTACATACTTCAAAGCCGTGATTTCACAACCCCCTTTCAAGCACCAACACGTCTCTCATTATATTTTACCAGGATCTATTTATATCTAGGACAATCGTTAGGCTTAACTATTGCTTACTAAGATTTAACTATACTATACTCATTATGATCAACAAATCACACCTTTCTTTTCGCCTTTAGCACAGTTTCTTCACTTTTTAATATTATTAATATTATATATCACCATCGTCATCATCATTATTATTTTTAAACAAACTTTATAAAAGCTTGCAAAAAAGATAAAAACCAAACTGAACCATACAAAATCACATTTATGTTTTTTAAAAAGACCTGGCCTGCGATTTATGGATTTAAGATTTTTAAAAATCACGTTTAGGCTTAACTTGTGCTATAATTATAGTAGCTTAGGACTATATGTATAACGTGTGCTGATGCGTATTTAAGTATTTTAGAAGCAGGCCCTATTCATTTTGAATAATCCAAGTAAAGAATTTTTAATGGCTATCGAGAACAAACAGTGTGTACAAAGGGGGAGGGGGAGCTGCGATTAGGTTTAGGTTTATTTCTCCGCCTTTCTTGGGTTTATCATACTGACCGTATGATTTTGTGGTAAAGTACGTAATCTGCTTTCACAGATCTGGAAATCTCTCATTATTTATTATTTTAACAATTTTTTTTTAGAAAGAAGAGATTCTCAGAAACCAAATGTAATATTGTCTCCTCACGCTTGCATATTATGTTTCAGCTACTAAGGTTTAATAACAACGCCGACAATATTGCCATGATTACTGTACTTAAGATATGCGTCACATAACGAATGCCCACAATGAAAACGATTATTTCTAACATGAACGACAAGTAACCAAATATCACAAGATATGAAACGCTGCATATTTTCGAGTAACATCATGCAATCGGCTCAAATAGATTTAACAACCGTAGGCATAGATTTTAAAACGAGAGTTCGACATTTTTCTGTTTAAACTATCGCATTTTTATCGCTAACATAGGCCTATTACTTATGCAAGGGTGGGGGAAGTACCAGCCGGGGGGGGGGAGTACCAGCCGCCCCTCCCTCTACCCAAATTTTTTCAATATGAAAAAAATTATATTCTCTATAAGTCTGACTGCCATTTTCGGTCATCAGTGGTGTAGAATAGTCTCTTAAGTGACATTTTCCAGAACAACTAATGTAATACGACAGTCCGTTATGAAGTTATGAATTTTTAAATAACCTGGTCAAGAGTTTAGCCTCAAAGCTTAGGCCTATCTTATTTTTGTTGGTTACGCACCACTGACTTGGGTTTTTTTGTCATAACTTCAACCATGGAGGTATAGTAAACATTCAAAATGTCTACCGATTTGTGGAAAAGGCGTATTCCATGTACTGCTGTCTATTGCGTTTCCTATAACACCAACGCGTTTACCTTGATGTGCCCCAAATCATCAGTCCGGGGATATGTAATCTTGTGCATTGTATGACATGGATGACGATCAATTCATACAATGTCATAAGCGCTAGAGTCAAATACACGGTCGATTTCAAGGTAATCTTTTACAGCTGTACGGTTAGCGATTACGATTGACGTCATCAAGGCTGGTAACAAATCGCTTATCCTCATATAAGATGGAATAACATTCAGATGGTTTTTTGTGCGCAACTGTTTGATAATAATCAAATAACGTGGAAATGTAGTTATTACTGACACAATCGCAGAAACGCAAGATAATCAAAATTAACGTTCCTACTTGAATGAATAGAAATGTTAAATATGTAGCTGACGTCATACGCATATATTATATTAACATTTCTGAAATACTGCTGCAAGAGGCTAGTTGAGGCGTTTGAGATTTCAATGACCCTTGCGAGATTTTGGATTGGATTTTGGGCCAAAATTTTAAAATAGTTTCTAGCTAGAGATATATTTCCGTTCGTGCGTTCGTTCAAAACAGAAAATGAGTAAATTAACATGATAGGAGAACTAAAATATTTTTTTCCAAGCCTAGAGGAAGCCACGTACTCAAAAAAAACAAAAAAAAACAAAAAAAAAAAACAAGCTAAATTTAATTTAATTCCATGTAATGTACCAGTGTCTATGGTCAAGAAAAGTCTAAACAAAAATCTCAAACACCACCATAACCCTATTCGGTGATACGCACGTCGCATTGTCCTCACACAGTTTTCCCTGGATCTGCCCTGAATAATAAAATAGCAAACAAATACAATATATTTGAAATTTTTTGTAAATTAATGATAAGTAATGTATAGATACCTGAACATTAAGATTCGGAATAAGCACCGTAATTGAATAGAGTACTGACGATACTGTTGTGATCATGAGGGCCAGAATTGATCGCTGGAGTGGCGTTTCTTTTCCACCATCCAAAACAACTCCAACAAGCGGTGACACCAACACAATCCCAAACGATATATACCCAAACAATGTCGTATAGTGATTCACTGTGGACAATGAAGCTTAATACCGTAATGTTGTTGCTTTAATAGTCGCGGTATCAACATCATTACTACCCTCGTCATCATCATCATCATTATCACTCTCATCATCATCAACCACCATCATCAATATTATCACCATCATTATCACCCTTAAGATCATCAAACTTATTATCATCATAAAGAATTTACCTGTCGCTTCATTTCTATTAGCCAGGTAACCCAGAAAAGGGTTCAACGTCCCCAGAAAATAGTATTCACGAAACACCAGCACAGTTGACCAGAGGACTGTCAACAGACACATCGGCGTTTTCAAATACTTCCAAAAGCTCTCTGCATTTTGATTATAGTCCGAACGTGACAGTTTCTTATAGTCATCCAGGCCACCGATAACAGCTAAAAATTATATGAAAGCATTATGTCAAAATTGTGTAGCGGTATTATTAAACTAATTTCTATGTCATACTCGGTGGAGAATCGTAAGTTTTAAATCAATCTTTTATCGGCTGCGGCCATAATTAATTTGGAGACAGCATACATCCTTCAGTGAAATAACATCCTGATTTCGACGAACTGTGATTGGCTGTGATGCAGGGCGTAGACACATAACGCATGCTTGAATGACCCATGATGTAGAGCACAAGTGGAAATTCCGCAGTACAGTATAATTAACTTTTGGCGTATTCTACTGCCATCCTCCTTGTCGCCACCAGTCGTTTCGTCTCCACCAGCTACGCGGCCCGGTGGTACTGGTGTATGGTGAGGGGACGTTAAATGCGAAAACATTGTCGCCCAACAACCAATCGATTACATATATTCTAGCAATTAAGCTGCAAAGCAAACCTCGTAATATAATCATATTTCGTTATCATTCGATCTTGATTTCGTGAGGCGGGACATCATATTTGATAAACGTGGAGGAGATAATATACGGTAACGTGGAAGAATCACATTTTATTACCTGTCGTCACAAAATACAAGCGCCAAATACGAATAGATCTAATTGTTTGTTCTCGCATTTATTCCAAATTATCAAGCTGAATTTTGTGGACTTCCAAGCACTAGAATTACATGTCAATTCTGATTATTTTTATTATATAAACATTATTATAATAATATAAACTTAATTGTTATTCAAATTACATATTATTGATAGTGTCATGTCTTCATTGCCATTATTTAACATATTATCTCAGAAAGACTAAAATTATACGGTATACACATTAAAGAGGAAATTGGGAAAATATGAATGGTTCATCCTCATTGCATAATAAATGGTTAGAAAGCATATAGGCAATATACATACACACATACATAGGCTTATATATACATATTATATATATATATATATTCGACATATATGTTTATATATATACCTATATATGTATATATGTATATATATATATACCTATATATACATATATATATATATATATATAGATAGATAGATAGATAGATAGATAGATAGATAGATAGATAGATAGATAGATAGATAGATAGATAGATAGATAGATAGATAGATAGATAGATAGATATAGATAGATAGATAGATAGATAGATAGATAGATAGATAGATAGATAGATAGATAGATAGATAGATAGATAGATAGATAGATAATAGATAGATAGATAGATAGATAGATAAGATAGATAAGATAAATAGATAGAAATATAATCAAATATGCAAATATGGATACCGGTAATTTTTCATTCCTGATGATGACATAATTAATGTCGAAATATTTAATCCCGACACGATGGCGTGCATTTCGATACTTGGAGTATGTATTATACTATCTCATTATCATCATCATCTTTATTATTATCATCATCAATGTCGTCGTCGTATAAATACGAAAAACGAAACAGAAGAGAAAATTTCATAATAAACACAAATACTCACATTCACTACTAAGATAATGCTCATGTAACCGATAACCAATTCGAGGACTAACGGCTGCAATGGGGTACAGGACACTCTGCTTTGTAGTTTTCGAATCATCCTCCTCCATCATCATTTCCACCTTTTCAGCTGGGACTATAAAAAACGTATTTCCCAGCGAAAGAATAGTATACACACCGAGTATTACAAACATCTGGTGCTGAAAGGCAATGCCAGCTTCTGAGAGTTTCTGTGAGAGTTGGAATTTAATTTATTTAATATTAAAACTGGAAACTATTGGTTGTCTTTCGTGACATAGGCCTCGTCATATTTTATTCAGAATTTGGAGTACCGTTCGCCGCTGATTGTTGTTATTGCCATTATATAATAAATTTGTTACTCAAAAATCATTAAATTTACACATAAGGCTTAAAATGGCGTATAAGCATATTGTTCAACATCGAGAAGACTAGGCATAGGCCTACACGGCTGGCATGGTAACACCCAAGTACATTGATATAAACATTGTTATCAGAAAATTACAACCATGCAAAGTAAATCAAAATGTTAGCATTGAGGCATCGTCATAATTATTACCATAACTATATGTTATGGGAATTTAAGAACGTCAAAAAAGGTTACTGTTCGTACACCGATGGTTTGTATATCAGGAATCTCAGGCGATTATGCAACTTAGTTAAAAGCACACCTGGGGTACTCTCTAAGCAACAACAACATTTCCGCTATTTTCAGTGGAATGCGCTAAAAAAACAACCTATTTCNNNTGGTTGATGGGGATGCAACCCTGTCTCTTATACACATCTAGATGTGTATAAGAGACAGTATATATATATGTGTGTGTGTGTGTGTGTGTGTGTATGTGTGTGTGTGTCACAGACTAGTAATGGTAATCACAACAGGGTTTATGTATATTTAAATCAAATACGGTAAGGTATAAAAATAGGTTTATTGCGTTTTAATATGATATCTGAAGCGAAATTCCTATGTAAGGCAAAGGTTAATGACCCTTTGTGGAATCTGTAGTTGTTCAGTGTTGTACATCCTTGACACAGTGTTCCTGCCATTGTCTTCCTGTTTATTCCTATTGTTTAAGTCAATATTGTTGCTAAGATCACTGTCAAATTAAAACGAAGACAGGAAAATGCAAATAATTAGGTCTAAATGTAATAAGCCATGGCTTAAGGTTGAGCTCTATCTAACAATAACTCTGTATTCTCTTGCTGACATTACTGTCCGGTGAAGTACGGCACTTGGGCACTGGCGATACACAGTGGCGAGAGGTGGCACCAGGATTTGCCCGACGAGGGGACCAGGTCCCCGACGGGGGGGGGTGCCGATGCCTCGACGAGGGGTCAGATTTCCTTGACGAAAGCAAAGTGGGCGTGGTCGAGCTTCGATTAAAAGGTTTCGCCCCCGAAAATGTTGACAGTTTAGGGGTTTCAAAGGCTTATTTAATCGATTTTAGAGTCTACTAATATGTAGTAAATACATATAATTTTTTTTTCTCCCCAACGAATTGTGAATTGTGGGGCAGCCCCCCCCCTGTCTCTTATACCCCCCCCCCCCCACCCCACTGGCGCCACCACTGGTGGCGTAACGACGAGTCATTGGGAAAAAACATTTTGGGGCCCCTTGTATGTCAGTGAAGTAGGCCTATTTCCTCTTAACGAAGTCACCGGAGTGGGTAATCTCTTTAGAGATAATTGTTATGGCTGAAAAAACACCATATAGGCCTAGCCCAATCAACAAATATTTTGCACACACAATTTTTATTTAAATATTAGGGTGCAACTTATTATAGGTCTATGCATAAATCGTCGTTTTAGGTTCCGTACGTGTACTTCACTCTCTTGCATAGGTTTTGTTACAGCTAATATTTTGCACACACAATATTTTGCATGCACACTAATATTTTTCACGCACATTTTATTTAAATATTTGGGTGAACTTATTATTAGGTCTATGCATAAATCATCATTTCCATATACTTCCATTTCACTGGCTTGCTCATGTTTAATCATGAATGATTTGATCTAAGTTCCAATGAAGTTTTTCCATTATAGGCCTAAAGCATTAAACAATCATTCATTAAATCGTCATCAGGGGGCGGATCCAGGGAGCACGGGAGATAGCACCCCACTCCGGGTGCTTTGGACATCTTATTGCCCATACCCAGATTTTCCCTGGTTATATTCTATAAGGTAACATTCCAACATTAAAAAATAGACTATTAACTCTATAAAAATTCACAGACGGACAAACCTTACTTTCCCTATAATATTTGTATGGTACAATCGACGATGAGGCTTTTTTAATCCAAATATCCGAAATATTAGTAGGCCTGGGCCTATATACATTCTTTTAATCGATTTTAACATATTATGTATAATGTTTTTACATGTGTTTAATAATAGGCCTACAAAGACGGGTAATCATGTATTTAATTCTTTATTCTATGGTTGATGGGGATGCAACCTGCCGGGGCCCCATATACATTTCTGAAAATTAAAAGAAATATGTACAGTATTGTCAAAAGCGTCGTATTAGAGTGCTGGGTAGTAGTAACAGGTGAACCCGTGGCCTCTCCTGGTCTCTTGGACTGGAACTTGACTTGGCCCCACAAAGCACACAGGCGTTAACTGAACAAAGTTCTATTGTATAATACTGGGTCGTAGTAGGTAGGGCTCCGGGCCGCATTATTTTTCCCCATAATTTTTGCCGCAACTGTATGGGGAAAAATAATGCCTCCGGCCGGCCCTCTTAGTTTTTGAAAAACTATAGACTATAGTAGATTGCTAGATGAAGAGGGCCCCGTAACCTTCCGGGGCCCATGGAATAAGAATTGGCCCCAGAAAACCCCCCGCAGATCTAACGGGGCGTTTACGCCACTGGCACAAAAAGTATATTTCAACTCCAGTTTCCTATTTAGAGTTTATAAAACATCATCCCATCGTGTTAAGGGATATTTGCTGTTGGATATGTAAGGAGTTAAACGTCTAAAAGAAAAGAAATGGCAAGCTGGGACTGACAAACATTACAATCTAAAGCCCTGCCTAATGGTCATGATGACATAACATCATTACCATATATAGGCACATCATGGCATACAACAGGGCACATTGAGGGCAGCCTGGATGACAGGATGAGAAATACTGCAATGTGCTTACCTGAACGATAAGGTAGACTACAGTGGACATCATACATGCACCATTTAATAAAGATATAATAGTATGTCGAAGATTGGGAAACAGATTAGCAACCTGCAAAATTCAGGAAATAAACGATTAAAGAGGCAAACACAATCCTGAGTATCAGGCGTACCTCCCATGTCCCTAATAATCGAGTAATTTTTTAAATACTGTTCAAATTATCTATAATATCTGAATTTTATCAATTTGTCTGTAATTAAGTGATTCTTGTTTTTCTTTACTTCTTGTCTTGTTTGAGGCCCCTAATGATCAGCAATACTGGATGGGTCACCCTCTTGAAATATGGTATTAAATAAAAAAAATTTAAAAAGTAATGTAGCAACTGTATGTCATGTCTATTAATTATGTTTAAGCCTATTAAATATGTTTAGTCTCAACGATATTATAGGATAAGCCCTTTTAATAATCAAAGACAAGTAGATAAATGTAAATTCCTACTGTACCTCAAATAGGCTGACAAGGACAGGTGCGCCAATGAAACCTTGTATAGCGGTGGCAGGAAATATCCAGAAGGGTGTCTCTTTAAATACATAAAAACACTCTTGTAAATTAAAATAATTGTCCTCAATAGGAGGGAAGGGGTTCGTACAACCTTAAGAAAACAATAACCAATACGGTTATTATTATACGTCATAAATTTTAAAGTTTTTAAGCCGATCCCTATTATTATACGTCACATATTAAAAACGGTTAAACATATTTACCAACTTCAGTCGAGACCATAATCATCCGGATCCAACAATTAGGCCAATATTACATGTTTTTCCCTTTTTTGATGATCCAAACACAAGTAAAAATTTATATTGTGAGAATGTTAAGAATATGTACCTCTAGATGACAGGAAAATGACGGGCATTTTTAGACTACAGAAATGTATTATATTTTGTTATCCCTTCCCCCACTGGCATGGGACACTGCTCTCAATTACGTAAGCTCAGTATCCGAAAAATAATGTTGTGCAGGCAATAAGGTTGTTTTATTATATATTCTTTACACATTCAACAGTAATTTAAGTAACAAGATGGAAACACGCTATTACACAGCAAAATATACACAAATTGCTCTACCGTCTTAAACTGTTTATACTCATCTGAAGATTTGAATTTTGGTCGTGTGAAAAATCCTGTACCGTGACAGGAATTGAACCCAGGACCCTGGGATTGGAAGGCACGCATCCTAACTAATCCCTCTCCACTGCAAGACCTGTATTATGTCGCGTCTGTTTGGCAAGGAAAATTTTATTTTAACTTCAGTTGACAACTCATGCAATGTAAATATTGATTTTTTTTTTTCAAGAGCTGTGTCAACACAGAATGCAGCATTCGTAAGGTAGGCCTATATCTGTGTAATTGATAAATTAAACTTTGAACAATCAATTTCAAATATTGAATTTATATTTAGTAGGTCTACCATTCATCAGGCAGGCCTTCAATGATGCTAAATAACTGTCCAGCCTTACATCATTGTTAAATTAATGTTTCGATATCTAAAAGGAGCTTAGACAGAACACGTGTAATGTAATTTATTTCATTTATCACAATATACAATATATTAAAACAGTAATATAAACCCAAACAAAAGTTGGCTCATAAAAAACATTAAAAGAGAGAGGAAAACCAAAACCGAACTGAATCTACTATCAAGTGGTTTCCCTTACAAACAACGATACATTAAATATAATACATAGGCCTAAATACCTATGAAAATCTATGATAAAGTAGGCCTATATTTGCTCAATTAAAATTATGTATTTGTATTATTATTATTATTATTATTAGGCCTATTATTGTTATTATTATTACTTTTAAGAGATTCATTGAATGTACTAGGTTAATCAAAGGTATTTCTAATATTATTGGTTATACTGTAGGCTATCCCATGCCCGTGGAAAATTATTAAAAACAAAATATTTACAGGCATTAGTTCGTAAAGTACGGTCCCAAAGGTTTACAACGCTGGGCATAGGATAGACTACCAGGTTTAACTCTAAATGGGGCATCAATCTAAAAAGAAAAACATGCTCTGAACATGCGTTGTTGATGTTTTTCATGTTTCAGGAGATAACCTCGGTTAGGGCCTATTATAGTCAAGCAGGAATACCATATTCGAAAACAGGACGGACAATAGCATTATTTAGTTTGAGGATTATAACAGGGTTTCTAGAGCTGGCAATCATTCTGACAAACCCAGAAGTAGGGAAGCCTTTTTAGATATACATGTATTATCAATATGGACATTCCACGTCAAAAGTACCCTAAATGTAATACCAAGATATTTACCTGTCCAACATTAGAGATAGCATCATTACCAATATAATAGCTTAAGGCATTCAATTTATGATTTGTAAATCTAGTTAAATAGTTTTAAAATGCAAAATGTCAAAATCGCATTGGTTTTCCAACAATTTTTGAAACTTACACTAGAGGAATTATGTGGTCTTTTAAAAAGCAACACTGAATTGCAGTAAGGTGGGAGCTACGGTGTTTCATAACACCATTACGATGGTTCGTTCAGGCCCATGACTATAGATGTACGTACTCCACGCGTTATAGACCGGTGCACTAAATAGTCCTCCTGGATATTGTTGCTAATGTCCCGCAAACGACAGCGTAAAAGTACGTAAACACGCGCGTTTGTAAGACATCACGTGTGTATGTGGGACAAGCGCATATTCCTGGCCTTTTTCTGATTGGTTAGTTGTTCTGTTCTAGAGTTCGACACTCTAGAAAGGTTTTTATAGCGAGTTCGCATCTTTTAACGACGATGAGGATGTAATAATCCTGATGTTTCTATTATTATTGTGACGCAGATTGCTCTCATTATTAGAATGCGATGTAGGCCTACGCAAAAAAAACCATAAAGGATGGCCCCTTTAAAAGATATCACAATTCGTTGATATATTCATCGGCTATATGGTTGCTATGGCAACAAAGACCTACCAAACTAAAATGAAATTGGATACTCAATAATTTTTCTATTTCAAAAATTAATAAAATGCAGGCCAGTCCACAGGAGGAGTTAATTACAATAATTTTTAATAATTCATGTCGTATTGCGTCATTTATGGCGGAGCTGGATGATTTTGAGTAGGAAAAAATATCCGATTCAACAGAGGAAGACCCAGTACAGTATTTCGAAAAAGAAATGGAGAACAGCGGGCTGGTCTGGAGATTAAATTTAATTAATTAGTAATATTATTGGCAATATTGCTACCGTAGTCAAAACAAAGTGTGCCCATAGCCTCTCTCTATTGTTAAGGCATATACGTGTGCGCGAGCATTTTTTAAATGATACGGTTTTTATAAGTATCTGTTACGAGTACCAAGATTAATAGACACTCAGGCACGTCTACTGAAAATCCCTTTAAGTACGGTATATTACCAACCGCATTCTATGCGTTGAGATCTTAATAGCTTATCTGTAGACCTGTGAGTGTTTTCTATTTTATTATAGGCCTAGTGAATTTCTAATGAGTTAATCTCAAGTGCCTATGTTACAATACGCACATGGTTATGATGATGACTATCTTTTCCTATTTTATCTTAATTATTTCTGAAGATGATGCTCTATAAACCAATCTAGAAAAAAAAATGAACCCTGGTATTCGAAGGCAAGCATCTTCCAGCTCCACTCGTTGAAACTTGTATTCCAGTTGAAAATGTATATATTCCGAAACTATCCATCTTTCAATGGCTGTAAGTAATACAGTCTAAATAGTGTGCAAGGACGCCTAGTATAATGTATTTAAAGTTTAATTCCCAACAACGATCATATTCGATGTGAAAAGTTTGTTCGGACTTGTATAACTTCAATTTTCATACAATTGACATTAAAATTGTGTGTCCAAATGACGTACCTTGACTTGAAAAGCCGTACATTAAAAACGTTGTAGCGAACATAACGCTGAAATTGATAAACAAAATATTAATATTATATGATAATAGTTCAACTTGGTATCGCTTAAACTAGACGTTTTATGCGCTTTTAACATATCGATACCGTGTAAAAGACATAATATATATATATATATGTATATATATATATATATATACATATATATATATATATAGGCCTATATATATATACATATAATGTAGGCCTAATATATTTAGGCCTATTATATAGCCTATATACAGCAGAACTCCTCCTTTTAGACACCCCTATTATGGGGACACTTTTCCGTGAAATAAGGATCAATATATCTTTTGACACTTTCTGAGTGTACCAAATGGTCAAATAACCCCTATTAAAGGGACCCTTTTTTGTTATTGTATCACAGCATCTACAGCACTCTAAAAATAAGAAAAAATCATTTAACTTTAAAGCTTGACACATTTTGAGCAGTAACCCAGTATTTTCTCCCCTTAATCCGTGATTGAATATCAGTATAGGCCTACTGCATGTGTTACTTCGTAAACCAATCTTGTCAATTTTGACCATTAACAATAGGGGTTTCTTTTTCTTTGTTTTTCGTGTATTTCAAATAGGATTCTAATCCATATAAAAACACATTAATCTATTAATCTATTCATGCTACATCCATCTAATAGAACGCTCCAATGTGATTGTTATATATATCATTGTAAATCCACGTGTGTTCTTCAAATCCGAAAATTTCTTTCGAAAATAAATACAGTGTTCAACAGTCTACATGCCTTATTGTCATAATTTAATATATATATATATATATATATATATATATATATATATGTATATGTATATATATATATATATATATATATATATA